GGGGGGGGGGGCGTACGCCCATTACGCCCTCACCTGGACCCGCCCCTGATCTGGACCCCTCAATCTACACGTGCCAAATTTTCGCGATGTCAGCCTCGATCCAGATCTGTGCCTGTCGTTTCGTTTCAACCGGATACGCGAATGTACCCCTGGTCTAAGATGTTGGTCATAAAGTAGAAGATGATTTATTTCCAATATGAATGTTTGAATGTAGAATTTGTAATTAATATATTTTGAAATTAAATTACATCAGAACAAAGATAAATAAGACTTTCGATGATAATTATTTTAACTTAGACATTTTGACAGATAGATGTCTAGTGTGGGACCAGACATTTATCTGTCAAAATGTGTTAAGTCTGGTGTCAGGGCCAGAGGAAACTCTGGCAACACCGGAATCTGACCAGTGACGTGCATGCATATATTATTATGTAATATACGTCTATGATGTAACTCATCATTGATATAAATTTCAACATTAAAAAAAGGAAGATGTCTATGCAAAAAAGACTCAATTTACATGATTTCCAAGCCGACAAAAAGTAATAACACACACAGGCGTTGTTAGAGGCCCTACATCGTACAGATCCAGGCGATTTATTGATTTCCGGAGTTATCTCTCTTCGGTCTTAAATACCAGTGGCGTGGCTGACCCAACTGCGGTAAACCGGCCAACCACACTCCGTTAGAATTACGAAGTGATGTAGGCCTACATCAGAGTATGAAAAAAATCTTACCGAGGGAATACTTGGACATTTTTGTTTCTCTTATACAAATCTACAGTTACCATATATACAGCAAAACAATATAGTTACTATATAGATGTATACAGCAAAAAATAAGGTTACTGATGTATACAGCAAAACTTATAGTTACTGATACTGATGTACATAGGAAAAATATGATAGTCACTGATGTATACTGTCAAAACCATAGTTACTACTGTACGCAGGAAAAACCTAACCATGGAATTACAATAAAAGGATAACCGATTTACAGTTATATGACCACGTCAACTGAACACTTTAAACTGTTCTTCTTTCGCTGTATAAGCGCATTCGTCAGACGACGAGAGAGAGACTGATAAAGGGAGCTCGGATGGGAAGTGTCACGATTAAATAGGTTTGCATGTCATTCGTTCCTAAAGTCATTAACTCAATGTATGCATACGTTAAACTCAAGTTTATAGACACCTTTTTCCAAGTTATACTTGCTGCGATTTGTACGAAACTGCTTTTGGCAGCAAGTGTTACATCAATATATTTTAACTCGTACGAATATTCCAGAATGTCTGAGATATATAGAGGACAAACAAATAAAACATCCTTGTCAAGTTTTAGCTAAATAAATAAACAAAATCGATTGCTTGAGTGAAACCGACCATATCCGTTGATATTTTAATTATTGTTTTGGCAAATCTCGGCTTTCAGCTTATCCCAGTCTTATTCAAACTCATTCCGTCAAACTTTCATCGAAAAGTATAAGGAAATACAGCTGCTAGAGCAGCAATGTCAAGTATTTTTGATTAAGTTCTATTTTATAGTAATATTGACCGTTCACCGATCACATACATACATGTACATATACATATAAATACATGGTTGAAACACATCTTTTGTAGAAATATACTGATGATGAAATTGTGATAATAATTGAGTTCCTTGTTGACAGTATCTTTGTTGAGTTCGGTGGTAACACTTTCCAGCAGACTGTTCCGTTCCTTTGGAAACATACCGTGTCCCTCTTTTGGCCATCTTATTTTTGTTTTAATATCTGACTGGATGTATTAACGAGCTTGTCAAGAAACCTAACCTAGTCCTTTAACTCCATATTCAGATATATCGACGACCGATGTGCTGTCCTTAAATAACAAACGTATTATCGAGCACGTCGATTGCCGTCTATACCCTCCTGGATTTGAAATCAAGGACAATACAAACTCCTATACTTCAGCCGCCGCCTCGATCTTAACTTACAACATCACCAATAGGGATGTCTTCCTGCTGTGATATACGATAAGCATGACGATTGCGATTTACCAATCATAACTTTCCCTTTACTGATATTAACATCCAGGCTTCCCCAACCAACGGTGTTTAGATGTCGCAGTTGATTCGGTCTTCAAGAGCCTGCTCCGAACAGCATGATGTTTGATAGTGATAACTGTCGGCTGCTGACGGACAAATCAGAAATATGGCAGCTCCGTGCGTGTGCAAAAGAAACATGGTTATATCCAACTACATCTTGGATGAACGTTTACCACAAATCGCGGACTGGGCAAACGATATTGGAGTCACCGTAAATAATAAACTAACGTTTGCTAAGCACATACATGTATGCGAAAAGATTAACAAAGCAAATTCTATTATGTACGTATTGCGAGAACAATTGAATACTTTTAAAATGTTATATACATCATTATATAGTTAGACCTCATATCGAGAATGCAAATCAAGTTTGGTGCCTTCATTTAAAAAAAGCATGTACATTGTAATGGAAATATAAAATGTTCAATATCGAGCAAAGTAACATACACCACGGCCCGTATTCATGCTCAAACCAACTTTCTCGTAACACGCTCAAACATGTGCTGTCAAAAAGTCAAGTGCTACAATGAAAATTATATTTGGCTTTAAGTATTTCCAAAATTCTTACACATCATTCACAAAATGTGAAATTGTATCAATTTATTACCATAACAAGAAATTGCCCTTGATCACAGAATCTGAGTTTGAGCATGGGAACGGTTTATGAATACTGACCCATGACTTTCTTTATATATAGATATTCAGATATTCAGATTACAAACATAATCGTATAGAGGTTCCAGGTATAAAATCACTCCAGAAAAATAACAAACAAGTCATGGACTTATTTACAACTAAAGAAGGTTAAACACACGAGACAATAACTTAAAAATATAACCAAACACCATCCTACTGAATGTAGGGAAGGCAATGATAGCTAAACAATACGAGTACAAAATAGATGATGGAAAAATTGTCACAAAAAATATTGTTTGAAAGAAAATTTGAGCTATGAACAATACATTTATAATAATAATTAAGTATCTTTAGTTTGTTAATCGTGTGTATTGTCAGAATAAATCCGTGTACTTGCATACAAAAAATATCGGATTATTTGAAAAATTAATTAAAAATTGCATATATTTTGTGGAATCTACGCGCAATAAGACACTGGGAAGTGTTTCTGACAAAAAGTGTTAAGTCAGCAAAGCTAAATTAACTTAACGATCTGCACAAAAACGCAGACGTGTGTTAACACCTGTTTAGTGGAAACAGTAGAAATGTCAATGAGATAAGAATATAAAGTACACGGACACCTCGAAACTTTAACAAGCCTCTTGTGGTTACATGCACACTTTACGTCCGTACTCGGAAGCTCGTGAGCGTCCATTAACTGTAGCCGTACCACTGTGTACTGGTTTCCACTCTTAATTTGCATACAAGAGTAATATGATACTATGATATTAAAATTTAATCTCACTTTCTAAAAAGCATGGTTACGTTATTAACCATGCATTCAAACGTGAAACCAACAGATCGGCCGAGCTGGTTATCCCGGGCTTGCTCTATCAGCTAAAATGCACAGTTTGTAAATAAATGATATATTTTATATAGATATATATACTTTGTATACGATAATGTGACCAAACACAAAACTACACAGACTCTCGATGTATGAGGAATGTCCTGGCGATGACGAGCTGTAAATAAGAATCTTTGTGTAAACCATTAAGTGTCTCGTTCAGCATCTTATCGGGCCCTGTGACAGATCGGAAGATGTCAAACGACCACTCCGGTTACAGTGGGTGTCATTCATCATAGCTGAAGTCGAACAGGGACTAAGCAGCTAAAGGAACGTGTCCTGAGTGAAC